GCTGATTCAGGAGAATCGCTTAAGCCCAAGAGGCAGAGGTTACAATGAGCCGAGATCACACTACTGCACTCCAGCCTAGGCGACAGAGTGAGACTCTGTCTCCAAATAAATACATAAATGTAACCAAATGACTTACAGGGGTGCTGTCTTAAATTCTATCAGGAAAGCATCTACCTAAATGTAACCAATGTGAGATAAACTTATATTTTGGAAACTAATATGTAAAGGAAGAAAGATCTTTAAAGGTAATAATAAGGCTGTTGCAAGCATTCACAATAGCAGCTCATATGAGCATTATCTACAAATCAGGCACTATACTAAGTTTTATATATATATATATATATAACCACTTTACTGATTTCTCTCTCCATTTTACAGGTGAAGAAATCAGAGGCAAAGAGGAGTTAAGAATGTGGCCTCAAGGCCATATAGCTTGTAAAGGGGGAATGGAATCTACCCAACTCCAGAAGACGCTTTTGGCTTCGCTAATTCACTGCTGCATCTTCAGGTTTCACATGCTTTCCAGCCTGCTTCAAAGACATCTTCCTAGAACTGAATGATACTATTCCTTAAGAAACACTACTCCCAGTTTCTACTTTTGTACCTATCAAGCAACTTCCCGATATTTTGTTTTCCCATATTCCGATATTCTGTTTTCCCAAGCCCATTTTCTACTTGGAAAAAGAGGAACTGACCAGTTAAATGGAGTAAAGACTAGGCATGCTGATTTTGAACATAAATTTGGTTCATGTGATGAACCATGGAGGCACCAGTATCCTTTTCTAAGGCTCAACATAATAGAGGAAAAGTCACCAAGTCAGGCATCAATCCTACACAAGACCACGAATGCTAAACCAACTCTACACCTAGAACAAACTTGTCGAATCTCTGTCCCGCAAGCCACATGTGGCCCAGGACGGCTTTGAATGCGGCCCAACACAAACTCGTCAACTTTCTTAAAACACTATGAGATTTTTTTGTGTGTGTGATTTTTTTTTTGAAGCTCACCAGCTATCATTAGTGTTAGTGTATTTTATTTGTGGCCCAAGGCAATTATTCTTCCAAGGTGGCCCAGGGAAGTCACAAGGTTGGACATCCCTGACCTAGAATGTAAAAAAGAAAAAGAAAAAGGAAACACAAGCTACTATTAGTATTAGAAAAATATGGATGGTAGCACTACTACTACATACGTAGCTAGAAGAACTCTTAGCAGCCTTCTTTCTCCAGTGGGAAAAATTAAAATATATTATGCAAATGTCAAGTGTTTTCATTTAAAAGGAAGATTAAAATATAATGGGCAGAATTATTAAACAGTTAAGAAAAAATTATATTACCTGATTAAGTGGAAGGGGTATATTGCTTCAGAACTAACTTTATTTTGGAAATACTGGACAAGTGGCAGGTCTTACTGATGGATTAGAGTTTCTTCCCCCTACCTCGCCTTCTATATTCTGTAATACTTGAAGACTTAATATTTTGAGAAAGGCCAAAATTTGGAATGTGCCTCTTGGGTTCCTCCATAAAGGCTGGCCTGCCAATTCTTATTATTAATAGATTCATAGTCTTGAACAGGAAAAATCAGTAGACTCTTTGGTTTACACAAACCTTGCCAATTTTTCCACACCCTAAATGTCTGAAGGTTTACTGGTAACTCCTATTTGTCTTCCATAGTGGTATCCTATCTTTCTCTTCCAAGTTTCATTTTCTGTCTTCTAGATGACGTCAGCAGTGGTGATTCTCGGAGGAAGGTATAACTGGAGGGCATGCACTAGGAACACCAAAAAATGGGAACTTGGCCAATTCAAAGCTGGAAAGTAGTACTGAGAAGAATGTATATAATGACATCTATCTTTCCCATAAAGACAGGAGAACTGAGACCATATATTTAGGAGACAGGTTTTGGTGAGGTCAAGAAAGTAAAAAAAGGATGGAAGATCTTTTGGAAAACACAATGAATGGCAGCTTTCCATAGAGACCTAGGAAGCACAAATTTCACATAGCAAAAAAGGGTAAGAAAGAACTACAGCTGACTCACATTTTCTTTTTTAAAAAAATTTAAACTGCCTCAATTTGCTATAATTTTCTTAGCCAATCCCTTCTTTTCTGAAAATACAGCTCAACTTCAACCTAGTCCCTTCCGATAATCACAAATTCTGAGTTAACAGTGTTTCAGGATTTCAGGATTTGTTACTTCTTCTCAGTTATTCCTTCTTTTTTTTTTTTTTTTTTCCAGATGGAGTCTCACTCTGTCACCCAGGCTGGAGTGCAGTGGCATGATCTCGGCTCACTGCAACCTCTGCCTCCTGGGTTCAAGTGATTCTCCTGCCTCAGCCTCCTGAGCAGCTGGGATCACAGGCATGTGCCACCACACCCAGCTAATTTTTGCATTTTTAGTAGAGACAGGGTTTCTCCATGTTGGTCAGGCTGGTCTCGAACTCCTGACCTCAAGTGATCTGCCCATCTCGGCCTCCTAAAGTCCTGAGATTACAGGTGTGAGGCACTGTGCCCAGCCATCTCAATTATTCCTACATGATGGTTGAGAGAAAGGAAGAAGGATAGACCAGTTACAGGACAAAAAGTGTTGGGCAACAAACGGTAGGCATAAAAAGAAAGACCGGGTGTGGTGGTTCACACCTCCAACCCCAGCACTTTGGGAAGCTGAGGTGGGAGGATAGCTTGAGGCAAGGAGTTCAAGACTAGGCTGGGCAACACAGCAACACTTTCTCTCTACAAAATATAAAAATAAATACATATTTTAAAAAAGAAGACAAAAATAATAGATAAGTGTGTTTATGTTTGTGCATATGCTACATATGTAAGTCACCAGATGGGCTGGGATCAACTGTATGAAAGGGAAAACAAGGTTTATCCCAGCAAATTTGTCAAAGCCTGCAGGTCCCACAAGAACCTACTATGGAGGATATTTTTGTTCCGATCATCTCAAGCTGGAGTCAACTTTGTAACGTAAATGTCAAACTCTGGTTGTTTGTACGGTTTATTTTAAGAAGACAACAAGGTTCTTCGACCTTGGGCAGCAACCACAGAGACATTCAAAGATTGATGCACTCTGATATCTGTTGCAAGTATGTGTAACTCATCAATATTTGTTACAGATATCAGCAAAATGGCCCTTTCAGTACTTAAAAAAAAATTACAGAGTAACAGTATCTTCATGCTGAAAACGATCATTAAGATTACCTAATCAGCCCCCTTTTCGCAAGGATTGGAGAAATTGAAGCTAAAAGGGGAATTTGCACAACGTGAACAAAACGGAAAGAGCATAAATGAAATCTTGGATTTCAAAGCAGAGAATTAAAGAAAATCAAACCAAAGAAAATAAAAGGCTTTTAAAAAGAAAAATGTATTTTAGCTCCATTTTTTTTTCCACAGAAAATCACAAACTATATCCTCTCCCTCTTGCAGAAGAGGATTCACATCATGTCAATTAGGTCTTTTTGAGATACACACTCATTCCTTCAGGCAGACACACTACCATACTGTTCTTTTCTTTTACATTCAACTTTAAATCCCGTAATCTAACTGAAGTCTTTTCACAATTAATTATTGCACAAGTTCAGCAAGTTAAGCATGTTTATTAATTCCCATCACACTAGAAAAAAAGTTAGAGGCAGCATAATCTAAATTTAAAGTGACATTTCATTTAGAAGTTAGAAAATTAGAGGTAGATACCTTGGAATTTTTATTGTCTCTAACACCACCTCCCCTTCAACCCCGCCAAAAGGAAGGGATACTAGCAATCTAGAAAAAAATATGCGTGGAGAGGCTTAGGATCTGCATCATCAAGCACTGTCAGTGGTTCTCAGCAGTACTCACTGGTTGCATGTCAGAACCAAGGAGATGTAAAATATATGTTTTAGAGATAACCTAAAACCTGTTCTAAAGAACTCCAACGACAGTCAACATACCTACTCAAGCAAGAGGGAAAGAAATAATATTGTACACAACCCAAGATTCATTCAGTATGTCTCCCATGTGTATTGACAGTCAGCTTGTATATCTGGGAAGATGAGAGGGGACAATCTGGTATCACTCATTTACTAGAGGAGAAAACTTAAATTCTAAAAGATTCAATGGCTTATACAGGTCCTTCTGAAAATGAAAAATTTCCATTTAGAGACTGTTCTTCTGCAAAGCTATCTGATCCATTGACACCAGGAAGGAGAGCTGATGCCACCCAGATATTTCTTCTGGTGTTAATTAATATGACTTCCTGGTTAGTAAGTTTTTGCTGCTTTAGAACTTGATCCAAAATTAAACTGACAAAACCGTTTCAAACCTGTAAAGCTGCTGACACATATACCATGCAAATTCCATTAATGGGAGACGCCTGGATGTCCAGCTTGAAATACCTGGCTATCTACCACAATGAAAAAATTCTGAGTTATGTATAAATAAGTTGATTTATTCATTCACATTATATTCTCTACCCCACTTCCTCTCTCCCTTCACCTGCCTCTTCATTCCTCCAACCCAATGGTATGGAGCAGGAGTTGGCAACCATTTTCTGTAAAGGGTCAGATGATAAATAGTTTGGCCTTTGTTGGCTCTGCCTTTGTAGCACAAAAGTAGCCACAGACAATCCATAAATGAATGAGTGTGGCTATATTCCAAAAAAACTTCATTTACAAAAACAGATTCAGCTTGCAGAGCTATAGTTTGCCAACCCTGGTTTGAAGAAGCAATTTTCAAACTTTAGCCTGAATCACAATCACACAGGCTTGTTAAAATACAGACCTCTGGGCCTCATCCTTAAGTTTCTGATTCAATAGCCCTGTCACGGGGCCTGAGATTTTAATAAGCTCCCAAGCAATGCTGATGCTGCTGGTCCAGGGACCACACTTTGAGAACCACTAGTACAAAACAAAGGTCTATACTACATTCAGTGGAAGGTTAAAATGTAACCAACAATCAAGAATGTAGAAATGACATGCTGCAAACTTGACTGCTAATTTCATAGAATATTTCATATGAAGACTTACTGTTAAGTGCCATAATATTATCTGTTCCTGGATGATGGAAATTTATCCCCATGCGTCCTAAAAAATAAAATAATTTTAAGCACAAAGAATGCTTAATGTAATCATTTCAAATACACCTTAAAATATAAACATTACAAAAATCTAAAACGGATTAATCTATAACAATGCTATCAAAGGCCAAAGCAGTTACAACAGCTTTAAAAATTAAGGCATAAAACATACACATGGAAAGTCTTAAAGCCAAAGTTTCAACAACAAATAAATAAAACAAAACAAAAAAGAAGCTTCTGTTATAATAGTCTAAAATTTAACACATCTCCTGCATTCCAATTTAAACATGCCAACTCTTTGGATTAAGCATTTTATTTAAACAACCATTTATACTGTTCTTCCATTCAAGCAGCAAAAAAAAAAAAAAAAAAATAGATTCAAACAAGTATATAAATTTGAAGCTTAGAGAGAATAAAAAGACAGGTTTCATAGTGGCTTAAAAATGCAACATAATAATCAGAATGGCAACCAGAAGGAAGATGGTAAAATTTATATAAGAGATAGAAGGGGGGAAAATGATTGGCCTAAAAATCTAGGGTTCTGGTGGCTCTCCTCACCACTAACTAGTTATATGACCTTGAATATAATGCTAATTTCCATATGTTCATCCTTAAGTTTATAACAGGAGTTGCAAACTTCTGCTGACATGGCTGGCTTCCTGTTTTTGTATGCCTCTGAGTTAAGCATCATATTTACATTTAGAAAGGCTTGTAAACACAACCAAACCAAAATTAAAACAAAGAACAATATATGACAGAGACCATGTGGCCCGTAAAGCCTAAAATCTTTACTCTTTAGCACTTCACAACTTTTGTCAACCCCTGGTCTGTAAGATGTTAAGTCAGAATCAGATGCTTCAACTAATGGCCCCTAGGGGCAAGAATGGAAGATGCAGACATTTTTGTTATGTCTTTTTCATTAATTATTTGGGACAAGGAGGTAGATGTATCAAAAGAAAAATTAGAGAGAGTCTTATATGAAAAAAAAATGTACTTAGAAACCTTTCTTGACCAAATTCCTTCAACAAAATAGTTATTGAAACAATGCTTTTGTTTAAAGCTAGTATCTATAAACTTGGCTCTGCAAGGTTTTAATGTTCAATTATGTCAAGGGTTATCATGAAATTCTCAAAAAATGTTAATCTTATTTCACTACCATTGTTTAAATAAATGTCAACAGTATCTTGGGGAGAAAGTAGTACAGAAAAAGCTGGAGATAAGGTTAAAATGATTGATTTTTACAACATATATACTTTTATATTACATAATTGCAAAAGAGTCAGTCATCATTTGATAGTAAACTCTGTTATGGGGGACTGGAGGCAAATAGCATTATTAAGTTCTTTTTGCCCAAAAGGAAAGCATCATAGTAGACAAAACAGAGCATCTGCCTTAAATAAAAAGGGAGAATCATGAACAAATCCTAAACAAATGAAGTTTTTGCCTAGACAGGACCATCCTGATTTCTTATGTCTCCCCAGGCTACGATAATTTGTAAAAGGTCATTTCATATTAACAGGTAGGGAAGGCCAGGCGCAGTGGTTCATGCCTGTAATCCCAGCACTTTGGGAGGTCGAATCATCTGAGGTCAGGAGTTCGAGACCGGCCTGGCCGACATGGTGAAACCCTGTCTCTACTAAAAATACAAAAATTAGCTGGGTGTGGTGGTGGGTGCCTGTAATCCCAGCTACTCAGGAGGCTGAGGCAGGAGAATCACTTGAACTCAGAATGCAGAGGTTGTAGTGAGCCAAGATTGTGCCACTGTACTCCAGCCAGGGAGTCAGAGCAAGACTCCATCTCAAAAAAAAAAAAGTGGCAGGGAAAAACAAAATCCTCGCAAGCGAAGCGTCACTTGTATTGGTGTGTATGTATGTACTGAAGAATGAGAAAATCTTAAATACATCCATAAATAAGAAAATCCACCAGAATTCGATGGATTCTGATGAAACTGTTCTAACTTTATCATGAAGCATTATAGAGCTTTCAATGAAAAAATTTAGTTTTTATTATTTCAAACTTTATTAGGAGAAAAATGTTTCATCTCTCTCTGGTTTTGCAGAGACAATTTTGCTAGCATTTGTAATATAGTAAAATTATTTTCTTAGATTAGATCATGTTTTCTATTAAAAAGCCATATGAGTAAAGAATCATCTAAGAGAATCATCTATTTTATTTTTATAGATTTCATAAACCTTTTCATATTTACTAGAAGCTAACTATTAGGAATTTCAAAAACTACCCCATTGTTAAAAGATACATGTACTGTATCTATATGTAATTGTTCAATGTGCCTGACATTTTTTCAGTTCCTAAGTCATTTTAGAGTCCCTGAAAATTATAGTCAGCAACAAGTGTTATCTCCTACCACTACCTTTATCAGAACATATAATAGGAAAAACTGTCACCAGAACAAGGCTTTGACTCAGTAGGGAGAAAGCATATTCTCATTTCAGTTAGCTATCTCAATGTCCTTGCCATCATTTCTGGATAATCAAGACCTTATTTGGATTCATTATCATGAAATACCAATATCCATGAAAACTAGATATGATTTACTCTAAACCAGCGTTCATCCTTTTCTGGGGTATTCAAATATAACAGTAATTAGCCAGTTACTGGAAAGTCTACCTAAAAGCCCATCAAGACTTCAAAATCACTGCCCATCAGAACTTAAGGAAACCGTATATATGGAGGATCTTTTCAAACTCCAACCAAGGAATATTTAGAGGAGGGTGTGCTGTCTAAAAAGTTAGCAATATTCCCTAAATATTCCTAGAATAATAATAAAGGTTATCAAGGAAATCATGCAAGCCTGAATTTAACTGATCTTTATTTGACTTCTTTTCTTTCCTGTGTCTACAACCATGTATAGTAAAGAATTATGTAGTTTACAACCACTATATCAAATAAAGTTTTTACATGTTCCTATAACTACCTAGTTTCCCAAACATAAAGGGGTACCCTTTTTGTCCTCCAGAAGTTAAACATACCTGCATGGATCCTTTTTGACCCTTTCCATGAGCTCCTAGAACTTTTCAGCTTAGAAAGATGAAATTGAAAGGAAGCTTGGTAGTTTTCAAATTATCATTCTCTATCTTACACTGATTACTTCCAACCTAAACTTTCTTATGATGCATTAAAATGAGAGGCTTAGGCAGTGTTTTACAGATTGAAGGTATCACTAATTGATGAAAAGCAGAACACTTTTTACCTTTCCTGGTATTCTCTCTAATTCTTTGACCTCTTTGACTTCAACAGGTCTCTGGATGAAAGCTAGCAACAAAAGATTTTATAAGAAACTCCAGGTTGGGCACCGTGGCTCACGCCTGTAATCCCAACACTTTGGGAGGCCGAGGCGGTCAGATCACGAGATCAAGAGATGGACACCATCCTGGCCAACATGGTGAAATCCCATCTCTACTAAAAATACAAAAAAATTAGCTGGGTGTGGTGGCATGCGCCTGTAGTCCCAGCTACTCAGCAGGCTGAGGTAGGAGAATCACTTGAACCTGGGAGGTGGAGGTTGCAGTGAGCCGAGATCGTGTCATGGCACCCCAGCCTGGCGACAGAGCAAGACTCCGTCTCAAAAAGAAAAAAAAAAAAAGAAAAGACAAGAAACTCTGGGTCAAGAAAGCCATATCCATCAGAATCAATTATCTAAATATAATCTAATTTTTCCAACTAGTAATGTAATTTTTTAAAGTAAAATCACTCACAGCATCTTTAAGCTAGTTTCTTAACCTCTTCCAAAAGTAATTTTTAGATTATAAAATGCAATGCATTTTCATTAGAGAAAAATCACATAATGCAGAAAAATGGAGAAAAGAAGCTCACCAAAGATAAGCACTGTTAACATCTTGATTTACAGTCTTCCAGGTTAGGGAGTGTATATGTGTAAAGGTTTCTTTTCTAAAATTGAAATTATTTCATAATTTTTAACTTAATATATTGTATATCTTAAGTTTTACAGTTATTAAGGAATTTTGGAGGAAAATAAAATATATAACAGCAAAAGAAAAACTGATTCCAAATTCAGAAAAGGCCATTTCTTTTTTATTCCTTTTGTCCAACAAATACTGCTGTTTAATCAGCTGTGAAAATAGAATCAAGTGTGTGACATCTGGTGATTTTTGTATAATGCAGTCTAGTGCTGCCAGCATGACATTTTGTCACCTGTCCATGGTCTGCTATTTTTAAATTGTTCTTGTCAGCTAGCGATCTTTTAAGTATAGTGTAAAATATAAGGTTTCAAAAACTGGAAGGCATACTTGGTTTTACTGAGTTAAATGATGCTGTGGAAATCTGAGACTGTGTCCCACTTTTCCCACTGCACAGGATCTGATAAATAGGGGTGAGAGGGGATGAAGGCAGAGGTTGGAAAACAGGGTTACATATGGTTATTCGTTCTGTTAAAATCACAGTCTCAGAAGCTCAATTCACATTCATATTTAAAACACTAGTTACAAAAAAAAACCCTACGTCTATCATGATTCAGTTTCAGAATCCAACTAAACTCATGCTTTTGTGAGCCCAAATTAAAAACTGAAATTTGTATTAACTCATAATTAATTATGAAAGTCATCTCTTTACTTCTACAACATGTTATGAGATAGGGAACAACTGCTGTACCGTCCTCTAATCACTCCCTTTGCTCTAAAAAGGCAAGTACTTCAGAAAGCTTCATGTAACAGAATGTTAGTGCCACGTTTCAGAAAGACTTACAGGTAAAATGCATATTCTACTGGGTTTTATTTCCCACTAATTTTCTCTATAAAGTTAGAGAGATGTTCCTTTAGAAAACTATCTTAAAAAATGTAATACTGTGATATGTAAAAATACAGTAAACTTTTTAAAATCTCTTTTTTAAGGAAATGATAAAACTTTGGTACTATAATATTCTAAGTATGTTCCAAATAACCAATAATCAAAAGCTGTGAGCTTAGACCTGAGGTCAAATCCTAGTTTATTCACATATTGGTAGTGGGTAATTTTTGGCAAGTTGTTAAA